TAACATCGGAGTGAGAGCAGGGCACGACGTCGAGATAGAGATGGTATGCCTGATTCAGTATACAGGCTCTCAACTGGAGAGGAGCGGAAGGCGCCTAGTGCTAAGCGAAGACCACAGTGATGGATTGTGTCAAGATGGGCAAGGAGAGAAGTTGAGGCAGAGGAGTAGATATGGCATCCATAATCAAGAGTGGAGAGGATCAAAGTAACATGAAGATGAAGGAGAGTTTTGCGATCTGAGCCCCATGATATATGGGAGAGAGTCAGGAGAATAAAAGGTTAGTCTACCCTCCATAGGCCGTAGGAGTCGGGGGGGGGGGATACAGACGTAAAATATTTCATTTGCGTTAAAGGCCCGGATTATGTTTCGTTGATTTTTTTCATTATCCATTTATATTTTTAGTTTTTCTGTTTTTTGTTTTGCCACTTGTCTGCAAAATTGAATATTGTCAAGTACTTGTAAAACAAGGGAGGGCAATTGATTAATTTGACCTTCAAAATTCATGTGGTCGACCATATGGATCAGCCCTATCAATATAACGTACTTGCTGACACTATCAGTGTTATCGGGACTCGTCAAGAGAGGCCGCCCTTCGTGAAAAGAATATTGGAGGGTTAAAAACGTAATTCGGAGGAGGCAGGAACATAGATCAGCGTGGTGAACAAAAAACTACTTATACTGCTGTCTAAATGTTAATATTCAGGGACAGTTATTCCCTATTGGAGCCGTAGTATATCACAGCTGATTACATAGGATTAAAAAAAGTTGTAGATTTTGGGATTAGTGAAATTTTTGATACGTGCAGTTAAATGTTAAAAAAAGTGAAAGATTTGTTCGTTTAGAAAATGGGAGAACTTTAAAACCTTATGGTGAGGAGTGACTGATATATTTCGTCTGGTAACCATTAAAAATTAATTCTCTGAAAGGTTTTATCAAAATTAACAAATTGTGGCGATGACAGAAAAAAAGTAATAAAAATGGTAGAATAGAACCATTAATAAGTTTTTTTTTTTTTTTTATTTTTTTATTTTTTTTTAGTAACATTCGTTATATGGTTCGTATATCGTATTAATATTAAATAAGTTTTTTATTACTAGTGTTTGATAGTGATCTCCATCTAAAGGATTTGCTTAAAATGATCCTGTAAAATGCCTGTGTGACAATAAGTGATTTTTATTGCACTTCTTATTCAAATGTAATTTTTGATTATTGTGAAAGAACACATTGGTAATCTGTTACAATTTTCATCATTCTTGTCGTTCCTTTCTTTTTTATATTTTCAGGTATTCACATATGTATACATGTAAGAACATAAGTATGTACGTAAATTGTTTAATATTTGTGTATTTTTGCGTGTGTGTGTTTGTACATATACACATGGCAATCAATTAAAAATAGATATATGAATATTATTATACACATTTTTTAATGATAATAAAACGCCCCAAAGTGTATTTTGATTTATTGGATAATAATCAACATTAATTTGAAACGCAGGCTCGGGTTACAATATAGCCAATGTTTAAAAATCATTCATCCTGTTGTATAGACTATAATTTTCTTTTAAAAGTGAGTGTGTGAGAGTGAGAATGAGTGAGTGATGGAGATGGTATGTGTAAGAAAGGGAGGGAGGGAGAGAGAAAATGAGGGAGGGAGAAAGGGAGGGAGGGAGCGAGAGAGAAAGTGAGGGAGAGAGAAAGTGAGGGAGAGGGAAAGGGAGGGGAGGGAGGGAGAGAAGGAGAATATTAGAGAGAGAGAGAGAGTATTAGAGAGAGAGAGAGAGAGAGAGAGAGAGAGAGAGAGAGAGAGAGAGAGAGAGAGAGAGAGAGAGAGAGAGAGAGAGAGAGGGATAGAGACAAAGATAAGGATAGGGGTAAAAAAGGAGATAGGAAGAAAGATAAATAAAAATATGAAAAATAAAGAGAAACGAAGGAACAGAAAACAATGAGAGAGACATTTCTCTTGTGATATTAAAATGCAAACACGTATAATAAACTTAATTCACATAACCACACAGGGAGGAGAGAAGGGGGGGGGGTGAGGAAGGGAAAAAAGAAACGGAACGGAAAGGGAGAAGAAAGAGAAAGAAGGAGAGAAGGATAAAGAGAAGACTGAAAGGAAGATAAAAGACGGATGACGACGAAAAAGGGGGAAGGCGAAAGGGGAAGAAAGAAGGCGAAAGAATGGGAAGAGAGGGGAAGAGAGGAAGAGGAGAATGGGGGGGGGGGAAGGTTATCATCGTCGTTGTCAAGGAATGAGGGGAACTAGGGAGGGGAAGAAGGGAGGGGAAGAGTGTAGAACGAAGTAATTAACATGCCTGAGAAGTCATTGCTGAGGACAAGTAAAGTGGGTGACATCACGGGGGGGGGGGGGTTGTTATGAAGGAGGTGGAAAGGGAGAGAGGGAGGAAAGGGAGGAGGGGGAGAGGGAGGAAAGGGAGGAAGGGGAGAGGGAGGAGGAGGAAAGGGTGAGAGGGAGGAAAGGGAAGAGGGGGAGAGAGAGGAGGAGGAAAGGATGAGAGGGAGGAAAGGGAGGAGGGGGAGAGGGAGGAGGAGGAGAGGGGAAGAAGGAGGAAAGGGAGGAGGGGGAGAGGGAGGAAAGGGAGGAGGGGGAGGAAAGGACGGTGGAGAGGAAGGAAAGGGAGGAGGAGGTAGAGAGAAGAAAGAGGGGAGGGATATGAAAGAGGGAGGAGGCGGCTAGGAAAAGGAGAAGGAAAGTGAGAGAGGGAGAAAAGGAGGAGGAAGAGTAGGAGGAGGAGGAGGAAAGGCGAGAGAGTGAAGCAAGGGGAAAGAGGAAAGTGAGGAAAAGTTGCTTGCTTCCTTTCTTGACTCTTTCCTGGTCAACTACAGCGCATTGTTGTTGTATTCCTGAAAAAAAAAACAGTTGCTCGTGAGTCGGAAGGAATTACATTACAACAATACGAAAAATAAATGTGTAAATAACGAAACGAAATGAAAAAAAATACGAAAAAAATATGAAAAAGAAACTCAAATATGCAAATTAAAGTATAAAAGCAACATGAAATAAATAAAAAGTTAAAAGAAAAAAAACAAACAATTAGAAAGGATATATTTAAATGCACAAAACAGAAGTTGTCGTTATAATTACAAATTGCAATTCACTAGGTGATAATTATTGCAAATGGCACTTAATTAACGACGAGATGACACGGAGAAGAGAGAAAAAAAAGGAAGAAGAAGGAGGAGGAAAGACGAGCACGAAAAGAAAGACGAAATAATAATGATAAAAAACACAGATAAAAATATGAAAGAAACGAACAAGTAGGGAAATGAAAATAAAACACGAAGGAAAAAAAATAAGATAACAAAAAAACAGAAAAAAATATATCATAAAAATCATAATAATAATGATAATAACAATAATAACAAAATAGCAATAGCAATAGTAATAGTGATAACAATAAAAAAAACAAGTGATAATATAAACAAATGAGGATGATGATCACAACAATAAAAATAACAGTGATGAAAATAGCAATAATAAAAATAGTATAAAATGACAATAAAAATAACAAAGAAAAATAGTAATAAAAATAACAACGAAAAAACAACAATAAAAAAATATCAATTTAAAATAACAATAAAAGTAACAACGACATCATCAATCAACCCCCCCCCCACCACTACCACCCACCCCCGCACCATCGAGTCCCTTCCCCCCCTTCCCCCCTCACCTGCGTATATCCAACAATAACATCCGTCGTGCGACACCCCGCCTGCGTCAGTATGTTCCGAGCTTCGAGGGCGCTCTGGACGCAGGTTAGCTGACGAGATTCCGTCGGGTGGCAAGGCGTGACGCGGGTGTACACGTAGAGCTCGTCCGGACACAGGCCTTTGTTGCGGAGCATCTGAGAGAGAGAGAGAGAGAGAGGGTGAGGGCGTGGTTTGTAGGGGAGATGGGGGTTGGGGTGTGTGGGGGAGATGGGGGTTGGGGTGTGTGGGGGAGATGGGGGTTGGGGTGTGTGGGGGAGATGGGGGTTGGGGTGTGTGGGGGAGATGGGGGTTGGGGTGTGTGGGGGAGATGGGAGAAAGGTGAGTCAGAGGGAGAGAAAGAGAAAGAGAAGAGAGAGAAAGAGAAAGAGAAAGAAGAGAGAGAAAGAGAAAGAGAAAGAAGAGAGAGAAAGACAGAAAAGAGAGAAATAGAATAGAGAGAGAAAGAGAAGAGAGAAATAGAATAGAGAGAGAAAGAGAAGAGAGAAATAGAAGAGAGAAAGAAATAGGAGAGAGAGAAAGAGAAGAAAGAGAGAAAGAGAAGAGAGAGAGAGAAGAGAGAAAGAGAAGAAAGAAAGAAGAGAGAAAGCAGAGGAAGAGGGAAAAAGAAGAAAGAGAGAGAGAAAAAAGAAAGCGAGAGAAAAGGATAGAGAAAGAGAAAGAGAGAAAGAAAAAAAAAGAGAGAATGATTGAGAAAGCGAGAAAGAGATATATAGATATAGTGATAGACAGATGGATAAATAGGGAGAGAGGAAGCGAGGTTATAAGGTGAGAGTAAAGAGTTAAGGGAAAGCCAGGGGGGGGGGGGGGAGTGAAGAGTTAATTTCTTCCCCCCCCCCCAGAGTAATTAGCAAATAAGAGTCATTAGTCCTTACGATGACCTTGATTAACACCGAGAGAGAAAATGAGATGAGGAGGGGGGGAGGGGGGGGTTGGCACTCCTTGTTTTCAGGCGATTAATTCTCAGAAAATGACTATGAAGGGGTTGTTAACATTTAGTGAAAGCAAACTGGCTCTAATAAAGGTTAATTTCGCCCGTTTTCTTTCAATTAATTCTGCTTTTCGAAGAGGTGGTAGATAACATTGAGGATAATTTGAAAAAAAATGGCAATAAAGATACGGAAACGGCTTTTGATGGCAGGGTAAAACTGATGATTGCAAAACAATATGGGAATTATATATATGCTAATTTATATAAGCATGTACGGATATATACGTACATACGATCCAATACGCAATACTTACATATACATGCCTATTTACTTACACACAAATACATCTTGACAAACAATCGCTCACACACACAAGCACACATTACCAAATACATCACAATAATCGCACAAATAAACCTTTTTCTCTTCATTTTCTCTCTACTTTTTCCCAACACCAAGAATTACGATACCGGATACACAGGGTCTCCCTCTCTCCGACAGGGCTGTGAAATGTTACTCAAAAAGTGGCCGTAAAAGACTCACGGGGACAAAAGAAGTTCTTTAAAAGATCTGATCTCAGGATGAAGGGAAGGAAAATGTCCTCAGGTATCAGAGACGTCGCCATGGTGGCCATAAAACACCCCAAAAACAATGGTAAACAATCACCATAGGTGTCATGGCTGAAGGACATTCATGGGAAAATCATGGGAACTCACCATGGGGATCAATGAACTCATGTAGATACTATAGGGGCGTCATACACACCATAAACGTCACCATGGAATCCACGGGACATCACAGAATACCACATGAACATCAATACTTAGATTGGGGATCACAGAACGCCGCAGAACACAATAAGTGGCATCAACATTCACTATAGACTCTACCGAGGGCAATAAAAAACGAAAAAAAATCACTCACCATCGAACTTTTGCTACAAGAAGCCACAAAACGCTTAAAGAACGTCTATGCACTATTGGCAGCACCATGGAACTCGTAGAAGCAGTACAGGACAACATACATCGGTACTCACCACAGGAACCACAGAACGCCAGAAAAATGAGCACGCAACAGGACCACAAAACTCAAAAGACATCACCAAGCGAAACCAGAAACAAAACAAAAAAAGAAAAAAAAAGAAAAGAAAAAAAAATATAAACAAAGCAAAAGAAAGAAAAAAAATCAAAAGAATTAACTCACCATACTCTTCACCATAGGAAGCAGGGAGTAGCGAAGGAATGGCCAGTCACTGTAGCTCTCCACCTGCTGGCCGTTCACCTTCTCGACGACCTCCTTGGCCAGCTTGTGGAAGTCCTTGTGGCTCTTGAAGGGAGAGTTCTTCGACTGCTGCTGGAAGAACTCCTCCGCACTCCACGCCTTCGGGGGTGGGGTGGGGTGGGGGTGGGGGGGGTTGAGGAGAGGCAGGTTTCATTATCGTATTCGTATAAGAGGCTATCATTAACATTACAACCACTACTATTACTACTACTACTACTACTATCGTCACTATTATCCTTATTATCACTATTATCATCACTATTACCACTTAATCACCAATACCCCCGTCACTATTACCACCATTACCTCCCCCCCCATTACCACCACCACCCTCACAACCACCGCCAACCCCCCTCCCCCAGCCCACACCCACTCCCTTTGAGACACCAACCTGGTTCCTCCACGCCTTGGCCGCGAAATAGACAGGCGTCGCGATGCCGTAATTGGGCCAGTCCGCCGGCTTCTTCTTTGGCAGGAGGGACTTGGCCGTGCTGTTGGAGATCGCCTGGTGGGGCAGGGGCCACATGGGGAGGCCGTGGCTGTACCAGTGGTATTTCGTGTCCTTCAGCTGCTCTACGTCGTTGATGGTCCAGTAGGGGTCGTCCATTACATTCTGTGGGGGAGAAGGGGTGGGGGTGAGAGGGTGAGGTGAGTGGGTGATGGTGGGTCAGGTGGGTGAACGGTGTATATGTGGGTATTTTCATATAGTTTTTTTTTCTTGTTAAAAAGGGAAAATTCTACTGAATGTTTTTGTCTGTTTTCTCTTTATCTCCCCCCCTCCCTCTATCTCTCCTTAACCCTCTCCCTCTCTTTCCTCCCTTTCCCCTCTCCCTCTTTCTTCCCTTCTCCCTCCCCCTCTCTCTCTCTCCTTCCCTCTCCCTCTCTCACTCACTCACTCTCTCTCTCTCCTTCCCCCTCCCCCTCTCACTCACTCTCCTTCCCTCTCCCCCTCTCACTCACTCTCCTCCCCCTCCTCCTCTCACTCTCTCACGCTCTCTCTCTCTCTCTCTCTCTCTCTCTCTCTCTCTCTCTCATTATCTCTCTCTCTTCTCTTTCTCTCTAGTTATCTATCTCTCTCTCTCTCGTTATCTCTCTCTCTCTCGTTATCACTTTCTCTCTCTCTCTCTCTCTCTCGTTATCTCTCTCTCTCTCTCGTTATCTCTCTCTCTCTCGTTATCTCTCTCTCTCTCTTTCTCTCGTTATCTCTCTCTCTCTCTCTCTCTCTCGTTATCTCTCTCTCTCTCTCTCGTTATCTCTCTCTCTCTCTCTCGTTATCTCTCTCTCTCTCTCTCGTTATCTCTCTCTCTCTCTATCTCTCTCGTTATCTCTCTCTCTCTCTATCTCTCTCGTTATCTCTCAAATGGAGAAGGAAATGTTTATGCAAATTTGTGCGTACGATCTTCTTTGTACACTGATGCGATATTCTGCATTTCAGAAAACCGCAATTTCTAGTAATTTCTACATCTATATCTGTATCTGTATATATCTATCTACAGTATATCTACCTAGCTATCAATCTACCCATCTACCTATCTATCTATCAGTCTATCCGCTTGTCAGTGTATCCGCCTGTCAGTCTACCCATCTATCAGTCTCTTATCTATCTATCTATCTATCTATATCTATAGATTATATACACAAACACACAAAGATGATAGAAAAACGGTCTTTACATACAAATGGTCTTTATAGACAGGTTACCAACCATTTTAGATTTCGGAGCACAAAAAAAAGTTTCTATACCTGCACGAACGACCATTCTATGTGTAGGTATAAGTAATTCATGCAAGCAAATTCATGCAAGCGAAATAACCCGATAAGTGTGAATAGGCAACCGTTGCACAGTTGCACAAGCCAGAGTATGGATGTTGGTTGTGCAATTGCTGGTCGCGTAAGGCAGGTGGTCGTTGTAACCAGAAAGTTTGAAACGTGATTTTTCTGAAGGGGAGTTTCGGGTGGTCGTTCAATACAGACAAACTGATAGACAGGTTTGATTATATTAATATGTGTATTATATCAAATTAATCTATATGTGTATGTATGCATTCAAGTATTAATACATATGTATGTATGTATGCATTTGTATGTATGTATGTGTGCATATGCATGTGTGCATATGCATGTGTGCATATGCATGTGTACATATGTATGTGTGCATATGTATGCGTGCATATGTATGTGTGCATATGTATATGTATTTGCATATGTATATGTGTGCATATGTATGTATGTGTGCATATATATGTATGTGTGCATATATATGGATATGTGCATATGCATGTATGTGTGAATATGCATGAGTGCATATGTATATATGTGTGCATATGTATGTATGTGTGCATATGCATGTATGTGTGCATATGCATGTATGTGTGCATATGCATGTATGTGTGCATATGCATGTATGTGTGCATATGCATGTATGTGTGCATATGCATGTATGTGTGCATATGCATGTATGTGTGCATATGCATGTATGTGTGCATATGCATGTATGTGTGCATATGCATGTATGTGTGCATATGTATGTGTGCATACGTATGCGTGTATGTGTTCATATACATGTATGAGTGCAAATGCCTGTATGTATGCATGCGTATGTATGTATGCACGCATATGTATGTATGCATGCATATGTATGTATGCATGCATATGTATGTATGTATGCATATATATGTATGCATGCATATGTATGTATGCATGCATATGTATGTATGTATGCATATGTATGTATGTATGCATGCATATGTATGTATGCATGCATATGTATGTATGTATGCATATGTATGTATGTATGCATGCATATGTATGTATGCATGCATATGTATGTATGCATGCATATGTATGTATGCATGCATATGTATGTATGCATGCATATGTATGTATGCATGCATATGTATGTATGTATGCATATGTATGTATGCCTGTATGTATGCATATGTATGTATGTATGCATATACATATATACACACAAACACGCACGCACAATCACACACAGATACCCTTCCAACTCCCGGCCACCGACCTTGGCATCCCCCGAGTGCCACTTGGCCGCGTCCTCGAAGTTGTCCCTGTGCAGGTTGAAGACGGCGAACTGCTTCATTTTGTCGTCGAGTTCAACGTGAGTGACCCCCGCTTCGCACAGGTCTCGAAGCACCGATTCCCGCGTGGCTGTGCGTCGAGATGCATCCACAAATCTGAGAAAGGGAGAGAGAGAGAGAGGGTGAGAGAGAGAGAGAGAGGGAGGGTGAGAGAGGCGTTGGGTTATGAGGAAACGAGAAGAGGAGGAAATGTGATACGGAAAATGAGAAAAAAGGAGGACGATGAAGAGGAGAGAGGGAGAAGGGAAGAAGGGAAGAAGGGAAGAAGGGAAGGAGGGGAGAAGGGGAGAAGGGAAGAGAGGGGGAGGGATAGGGGGAGAGGGGGGAGGGGGAGAGGGGGGAGGGAGAGGGAGAGGGGGGAGGGGGAGAGGGAGAGGGAGAGGGGGGGAGGGAGAGGGAGAGGGGGAGAGGGAGAAGGAGAGGGAGAGGGGGGGAGGGAGAGGGGGAGAGGGAAAGGGGGAGAAGGAGAAGGAGAAGGAGAGAGGATTTATTTAGGAGGAAAAAATAAGAATTAGAAAAATGGAAAAGGTAATCGAAGAAGAAAATGAAGAAAATAAAATAACGGCAAAAGGGAAAAAAAATAAGAACGGACAACAACGACGGATATGAAACAAAATGAAAATGGAGAAAAGGAAAGAGAGAGAGAAAAAAAAACAAACTAAAATGAAATGAACAACAAAACAAGAGGAAAACACTTAAATTACTTAACACTTTCAAACTACTTTACACACTTTCAAATAACTCGCTTATCACCTTGCTTAACACACTCATAGCTTCCTAAAGACACCTCCCACTACTATAACCTTTTCAGCTCACTTGATTTCCCGACACATCTCCACAGGGTCAATGGTGTTGCTTCGGCCAAGGGAAGGCGTCTTGACCAGCGCCCATCCCATCTGCACGCCCACCAGAGACAAAATCAGGATCAGGTCCACTGCGCCCATCTTGCTTCGAA